AGGAAGAGTCTCTGTCACAGAGCAGGTGCGAAAAAAAGCATGGGATGAATCCCACCACATGAATTGAGTCTTTAGGTCCACATGACCTGGGCCCAGAGCATGGAAAGAACTTGCTCGTGTGACCATAGAAATAGGGCTGTCTCTGAGGAGGAACAGAGGATGGGATATGGATCGTCAGACCTGTCCCCATTTTCAGAAAATTCTAGAAACTCCAGGTGGGTGAGTCAGACAGGGATGTGGGTCCAATGTCTAGAGCAGATGAGGAAGCAAAGGCCCTGTGGGCTCTGTGACCAGCTGACAGTGAGCATCAGGGGCCCCCAGGTACCAGCTGCCTACCAAGCAGGTCTCCTGCATGACCCGTTTAATCCTGTTGCATTTGGACTTCAGACAGGTGGACAAAATGTCTAGGTTTTTTGTCTGAGAAGGAGACATTTGGACCAGAGTCAGGCTGGTGTGGTTAAAGTCACAGCCAGTCAGAACAGTGATTGGCCCCAGGTAGGACTCAGGAAACACTGAGGGGACAGAGGGAGGGAGGAAGGAAGGAAGGGGCCACGATCAGCTATGGGTTCTGTACTTAGGCCTACCCTGTTCATTGTTTCTAACAACTTAAAGACATAAAAGGTGTCCAGTGATCTCCTTTACAGAGGATGATAATAACTGTATCAGAGGACAGAAGTAAAATGTAACAAACCCATGATAAACTGTAACTATAGGTAGTGGACGGATGCTACCTCCAGGCCAGACCCCATCCTACAGGCTCCTATCCTTCCCCTTCCTTGGGGTCTATGGAGAAGCTGTGATTCAAACCCTCACCCGTCTGGCTCCAAACTCAGGCCCCCTCCATTCTCTGGGAATCTGGGTAGAAATGGGACTGGTGTCTCTACCTAACAGCCCCCAGCAAGGACAGGAGGAATGACCCTGAAGACCTGTCCTGAGCCAGCCGGCTGTGAGTTGGAGAAGGGGACCCCTAACGTGCTTCTCACCTCCACGTCCCTGTGACACCTGCATTATGTCACCTCGAAGGAGCGGACCTGGGAAGCTTCCTTGCTGCTGGTCATAATGACCCCACATGCCCAGGAGAGGAAGAGGGATGCCGTTGTGTAAAAATCAAAACTCTTTTATCTCTACTCTGTAACTCCTAGACCCAGTGCCTGTAGCTCCCTGTGTTATTTCAGCTTGTGGTTTGCAGAGAGAGTTCCAGAGTGAGATGGTGGGAAGACCCCTGGAGGGAAGGCAGAGTCAGGATAAGGAGGCCACCTGGCCGCCAGCCAGGGGAGGGACCCGCACGAGTGAATGCACCTATATGAAAGCACCTATCTTGGGGGTAGCTGGGGTTCCCCCAGGGGACGAGGGTCCAGCTTGGCATGGGTGACCCCAGGAGTGGACTGGGGAGCAGTCAGGGTTGGAGATGCAGAGGGACATGGGAAGGATCAAAGTGGAGGTCCCAGGGGAGGCTGCGGGAGGAAAGGCGCAGAAGTGGGGATAAGAGTCACGCAGGGCGGAAACGTGCACACAGGGGATGTGGGATGAAGGGAATCCGGGAACATCCGTTTCTGCGTTCCTCAGGCCCCGTGTACCCACATTTCCACCGGGGCAGCGTCTCAGAGCGAGGACACAAGAGCACTAATTCAATATCAAAGGACAGGAACTCCACATAAAAAAGCCCATGTTCAAGTCTCTTTCAGTCCTCCCAGCTGGTCCAAGAGATCAGTCTCAGTTTGGTCCTACTGTGTCTTTGATGCTCCTCCAATATGTGGTAGTCTCCCTTTTTGCAAACGGTTCAGACCTTAGGCTCAGTGCTATCAGGCAAGGGTTTTGGCTGGGACTCTGTTGGATGATGTAGCTTTCATTGTGTATTATTTTAACAATAACCGTCTTATGGCACGGGAGGCCCGTTTTCCTTTTGTGATAGTGGTTGCAATGGAAGAAGTTTCATTCCCAAACATATTTCTTTCAGTAAGAAAGGCTAGGTTAGGGGCGCCTGGGTGGCTTAGTCGGTTAAACGTCTGCCTTCGGCTCAGGTCATGATCTCAGGGTCCTGGGATTGAGCCCCGTGTCGGGGTCCCTGCTCGGAGGGGAGTCTGATTCTCCCTCTCCTCCCTGCTCATGCTCTCTTTCTTGCTATCTCTGTCTCTCTCTCTCAAATAAATAAAATCTTTAAAAAAAAAAAAAGGAAAGAAAGAAAGAAAAGCTAGTTTAAAGGAAAAAAGAGTTATAAAAGTGGCGCAGATGGCACAAGAATGATTAAAGTTCCCAAAACAGACTCTCAGAGCAGCTCTGGGTAGCCTTGGCTTGAGATGACAAAGATGGGACCCAAGTGTGTCCTTGACAGGCACGGTCCAGTCCTGTTTGCTGACTCTGAGGCTAAGTGTCAACAAATCTTCCCATCATTCTCCACTATTCTGGTGACCTGAGAAAGACCACAGAACTTGTTCTTGTTCAAGCCCCCGTCACATTTGCTCTATTGGCCAGTTTCCAGTCCAAGGACCTAGAGCATCTACAGCTAGCTCTCCGAGCCTACTGCTTCCCCAGTTTCATCGCAGCAACAGCAGAACATGGTGACGCCTGCCCCGAGTATGACAAGAACACCACGTCCTGAACACTTCCGTGGGCTGGGTCTTATGTGTGAGTTTTCTTTCTTTCTTTCTTTCTTTTTTTAAGATTTTATTCATTTATTTGAGAGAGAGAGCGTGAGAGAGAAAGAGATCATGAGCAGGGGGGAGGAGTAGAGGAAGAAGCAGGGAACAAGGAGCCCGATGCGGGACTCGATTCCGGGACCCCGGGATCATGACCTGAGCCAAAGGCAGGCGCTTAACCGCCTGAGCCACCCAGGCGCCCTACGTGTGAGTTTCTAATCTGTTTTTCCTTCAGTCCTCTCTGTGGCCCAACGAGGCGGGTATGATAATGCCCACTTTCGGGGCAGGAAAACGGAGGCTCAGAGAGGCGTTTGCCTCGAGTCACCCAGCTAGCACCGTGTGAGGGATTCGGAGCCGGATCTGCATGCTGCCTGTTCCCACGCTCTTTGCCGGGTGATGCATGGCCTCTGCCCGAGCAGGAGATCAGCTCCCACGTAGGACCTCACCTCCCTCAAGTGAGGCCCCGCCAGGCTTCCCGGGGGACGTGTGGCTCTCACAGGCGGGAGAACCTGGCTGCGTGCGTCACCTCCTCACAGCTGCCACCACTTTAAATGGCCCTGTCCCCACTGGGGAGAGATTTTACAAATGCGATAAATTTATGTTTCCTTGGAAATCATCTAGCAGTTTCTATTCTTGTGCCACCTTCTGTGAAATTCACAGCGCTTACATTTTCCCAACCAGAAATTCCTACACTGGGACTGACAAAGAATTTGAGGCCATTTCTGGGCCGGGGGGCGGGCGGTGGGAGGTTGGGGGGGCTGTCTCTGGGAGATGTGGTTTGCATGTCAGAGAGCTGGCATCCCAGGACACTGGGTAGTTTATGGGGACCACAGAAGGGAATTGGAGCTGTCGCCAAAGCCCTGTGACTTTGGGGGCCCCGGGGCGCTGCGTGTCTCCCACCAGTTTCTGGCCTCCAGCTTTCCTGGTTCCGTAACTCACCCTTAACCCCACCCCTACTCCCCAACACCACTCTTCACAGCCCCCCACCCTCCTCCCTCCACCTCCCCAGCTCTCTCTTCTCCCTCCACCCCTGGGAACCCTCACAGCCCTGCTCTGTTTTCTGTGCAGAAACCCATCTGGGTCACTGGGGGAAAACTGAAGCTCACGGACTTGCCCAAGGTCACACCGTCATGCCAATAATGACTTCAGTGCTGGAAGCAGAGCCAGGTGTGACCTCCTATAAAGCTCAAGCCCTTTCCACTCTGCACGCGGCTGTTCCCTCTGTGCTTTCTCTCCCCATAGATCCCCCCCAACTCTTCTAGAACACATCAGAAGTCTTCCGTTTGACACACTGACATGACGTCTGTCCCACAACAAAAGGCACTCACTTGTAACCCTCGTCATGTGAAGATCATGGAATCAGGGCTCATTTTCTCTCTTTGGTTTAAATGTTTTTTGTCATTGGAACTTTTATAAAGAAGAGGGCATCTGAAAAATGCATCATGTGTGTAAATATTTTATATGTGTGTGGGTTGCTGAAACATGTATTACATTTGACGTGGGTATATCATGTTTAAACATACACACGTATTCACATCTTTTAAATCTGATGTGACATTAGGCAAAATAAAAACTGAGCATTTCCGCAGATGGGTACATTCCTTTATATTTGGAGCCAACATTTTGAAATTGAGGGGGCCGCTCATCATCAGCCTGGCTCTACCCTAGCAGTCAGGCTGCCTTGCCTTCCTTGTGGTATCATCAGACCAAAATTCCAAAATATGTTTTCTTTTAAAGAACTCGCTAAAGAGTTTCCCAAGTGGACGGTTCAAACCTCAGAAGCGTGTAATTCCTCAGTGTGTTGCTCTCAGCAAGACCCCACATCTCTGCCTCGCCTGACCCTGCCTAACCTCATTTCACTGTAAAATGCTTTCGGAGACGCGCCTGCCCCCGACCCAGCCCTGCGGCCTCGCTGGCCTGCTCCTCGGGGCTCAGCCTGCTTCCCTGCACCGAGCTCAGAGGTGGTGGGTCTTTCAAAAGAGCACAGAAAAGGCATTCTCCGGTGGGCCAGGCTGGACTGGGAAGCCCGTGAGAAGGCCGGGGTCACATCTGAGGGGACACATCATCCGGACTTCAGGGAGCAGATCTCTGGGCGGGCGGGGCCTCAAGGTCACTTCCTGCTGGGCAGCCCAGGGTCACCAGGGAGGGAACTCAGTGCTTAATGCAATTAGGGACTGAAAGAGCAGAGGGGGTAGGGGTCAGCATCCTGTAAAGGGCTTCCTTCATTGTTCCTTTCTTCTGCAGGATTCAGACAATACTTTAATTCAATTCAAAGGCCTCTGTTGAAAAACCCAACCTGGCTTTTGCTGTTGACACTTTCTAGTGTCAGGCTCTACGTTAGTCCTTTTTTATACGTAGTATCTCAGGTTATCTGATCTGCACGGGAGTTTTGACCTGCTCCGTTTCCAACCTGGGCCAGTTTACCCCTCCTTAGGCAACCTGGTGGTCCCCCCCTCCCGGGAGGTCACCATATTGATGCCGAACTTAGTGCGGACACGTGATTGGCATAGCTCCCTACAGCCCAGAACTCCTGGGCTCAAGCAATCCTCCTGCCTCAGCCTCCCGAGTAGCTGGGACTACAGGCGCACGCCACCGCCCCCGGCTATCTCAGGTTATCTGGAGAAGGGGGCATGAGGATCCTGGTTTGGAAACAGGCTCAGAGGGACAAATTGGACAGATCACTGGGGCCTTAGCGGGGACCAGAGCCTGAGGCCAAAAGTCCCAACTCTTTCTCTTGCTCCTTAGACAATCTGCATGCCAGGCCCCCTGTTGGAGCCTGGGATCAAAGACACAATCTTCTAGAGCAGGGGGCCGGGGGCTAGGGTGGGGAGACACAATCTCTTTTTAAAAAAAAAAAAAAATTTTTTTTAAGAGGAAAAGAGAAATTGATTTTGTCTGACTTAGTACTTACATAGTTAGCTGTCAGTATGCTATGCATTTGAAATGCTAAATAGAAGTTCTGGTCACCAGCATCAACTTCTTACGAATTTTTAATGCTTTAGTATCTCAAATAATACCCACAGGCAACACACCACAGGGCAGAGAGCTCTGATGGGAAGAAGCAGCAGTGAGTCAGATATCCAGCTCTGCCACTGGTGTGTGGTATGAGCTCAGCCATGTAGTCCTTTGCCTAGGGCCGAGTTTCTCAACTGGGAAACGAAAGGGGTGAACAGTCCAAGTGTCCCATGACGTAGAATGGGATTCCTTGTCGGGTGGTGAGTTCCCCAGCATGAGAAGTAAGCAAACACAGGCTTCAAGGCCATTATGGAAAAGATGCTGAATTGAACCCCATTAAACTGGCTTCATGAGTAGGACAACATGTGAATCAGCATTATATCTCTGGGTCCTATATATATATATATATATATAGGGTCCACTGCTTGACAACAGGGTAGATGCTAAAAAAGGTTGGATGGATGGATGGATGGATGGATGGATGGATGGATGGATGGATGGATGGATAGATGGATGGATGAATGGGTAGATGGGTGGGTGGATGGATGAATGGGTGGATGGATGGGTAGATGGGTGCTCAGGTGGGTGTGTAGAGGCATGGATGGATAGATGGATGGACACATTTCCATGCTTGGTGGAAGGTTGAGCTAGATGACCAAGAAGGTCCCCCCACCTGAGATCCCTGACTGTCTTGCCACTCTCCCAGAAGTCCTATCTTACACAGCTTCTCCCTTATACCTTGCCCATGAACTGGAACTTTGATTGGAAACACTGGGCTCTGTATTGGTGTTCACAAGGCCTGTTGAGAGGGCTTGGAGGTAAACTTCCTGAAGATCGAACAAGCAACGATGCCAAGTGTCAGGCACGTAATAAGTACCAGGGAGCGTTAGCTGCCCCTGCTCCTTATAGGAGGTGGAGGCAATGGGAGATGAAGGAGATGTTGGGCAGGAGAGGAAGGGGAGGGGTGATGGCACTGGGTCCCATAAGCTCCGATGGGAGGCAGGTAGTCCGTTTCTAATCCCACCAGGCTCCAGAGGGCTGCACTTGAAGCAGCAGGGCGCATGCCTGTTCCCAGACTGCTCTCTGCACCGTCCATTTCTGCAGACCAGAGGGCAACTGCATTGGAATGAGCTCTTGTGCTCGGAGTCTGTAGGCTTGCGTCACATGCAGGGTCAGGGCTGATGTGTCGGTGTGGCTTAGGCAAGTTGTTTAGCCTCTCTGAGCTCCCACTGCTCTGTCCTCACCCTGTCCTCACCAGCCTTGTTGCAGGGGTCCCTGGGGAGGCCTGCCCCTGGGGACTACACAGTGCCTGGGACAGCCAGCAAAGCCCCATCTTCCACGCTGCCGGAAAAGGCCATCATCATTTTGAACCTTAGATGAGCACACTTTTCCCTCTGTGGCTCCCATCATGGCAGCCAGGCTTTGGGGCTCAGGCCATGGGACCCCCGTAGCTTGTGATGAGCATCCCCCTTCTCCCCTGTTCCAGGAGGACTCATTTCCTATGTCCATACCTTAACTCACAAACAGATGCCCCTCTTTTAGACAAGCTACGGTATGCTTTACACACTGGTCTGCACCTGGCCTTTTTCTTTGGAATAAAGCTTTGCTAAGATATGATTCATATACCGTGCACTCCACCCACTTGAAGTGTACAAGTCGATGGTTTTTAGTAGATTCACAGAGTTATGCAGCCATCACCAGAGCCGATGTTAGACCATGTTCATCACCCCCAAAAGAAGTCCCCTACCCACTAATCTACCCCGTGTCTATAGACTTGCCTATTCTCGACACTTCCTATAAATGGAAATCACACCATATGTGCTCTCTGGTACCTGCTTTTCGCATGTAATGCGATGTTTTCAAGGTTTGTCCATGTCGTAGCATGCTCGGCACCTTGCCTCTTACACGTCGAGGAAGTTGAAAATCATCCCATATCGGAACATACAGATCTGCCTCATTGTGGCCAGATATTTCCAAATTCAAGACTCCAAAGGCATAAAAAGGCCTCCAGGGAGGAGAGTCCTTTCCATCCCTGGTCCTTTAGCAGCCAAGTTACCCTTCCCAGACATCTCCCAGCCTTCCCTCCAAGGGTGTAAATGCAGCCCGTCCAAACATGTATAAATACAGTCTTTTCCTGCTCTTTTGTTAACTCGAGGGTAACGCACAGCACACACGCTGTTTTGTCCCTTGTTTCCACTTCATAGAATATCTGAAATATTTTTCTTTCTCCGATGGAGTTTTGAACCACTGCATTCAATGGCCTGGTGGGTGCATACAGCTGAAGGATGAATTCCTACAAGTAGTATTTCTGGATCAAAGCATCTGTGACACAATAGTACCCATTCCTTTTCTACTCCCCTCAGCCTTGCAGAAGAGAACACGATTCCTGGGTCCTGGCTAAGCAACGTGGTACCACAGTTGACCCTTCAACATAGGGGTTAAGGATGCCAAAAAAATCCACCTATAACTTTGGGCTCCCCCCAAAAACCTAACTACTGATAGCCTGCTGTTGACCAGAAGTCTTACTGATCACATACACAGTCAATTAACACAATAAAGTACAATCAATTCTTACAATCAAGTAAGCTAGAGAAAAGAAAATGTTATTGAGAAAATCATAAGGAAGGGAAAATACAGGCACAGCAGTATGCTGCATTTATTTTTTAAAAAAATCCACATGTCAGTGGACCCGTGCAGTTCAGACCCGTGTGGGTCAAAGATCAACTGTAGCTCATTAGACATCATTCTAAGAGATGAGAAACAATATCCCAGGAGAGTTTTAATTTGTAGTTCTCTTTGATGAAGGTTGAGCATTTTTTTCCCCATATACTTCAGAGAAACTTCTATTTCCTTTTCCATGAATTGTCCAATCAGATCCTTGGTCCATTCTCCCGCTGGGTTGTTCATCTTTTTCTTACCGATTTGCAGGAATGCTTTAAGAAAATTATCCTATGAGTTAGAAACATGTTCTCACCGTTTTATGCTTTTTCTTTGACGGATTTGGTTTTTCTTTTGTTTTTCTTTTGGGTCATGCAAAAAAAAAAGAAAGAAAGAAATGGGAATGTCGTCCTATTCGTCTGTTTTACAGTTTGAGGTTTGTGTCGTATATGAAAGGGCCTTCTTCTCAAATCAGAGATTATAAAAGAAATTTATGGTTCCTCTTAGTACGTTTATGGCTTCATTTTGCTTCCTTCTTTTCAAAAGCTGCCTAGAATTTCATTGCAGGAGTCTGTCATAATTTACCCTGCCAGTCTCCAGTTAGTGGGCGTTTGCATTGTTTTGTCCTTGGTATGAAACGCGACGCTGCAGCTAGTCCTCGGGTGCGTCCTGCTTTTGTGTGCACATGGGGAAGTCTACCTGAGGACAAATTCATGGAAGTAGAATTGCTAGATCAAAGGACATGGCATTTTAGATTTTGAAAATAGGGGCCCAAATTGCTTTCCTGAGAGGTTTGTCCTGTGTTCTTTCGGTAGTGCGGAGAGTGCCCTGCCTCTCAGCTTTGCCAGCATTTCTTGTTTTTTCAAATGGAAAACATCTTCCTTTCTTTTCTTTGCAAAACACTCAGTGTGGGGAGGATGGGCAAACAGGCCTGTTGGAGCATTTGGGGTGGAGACCTCCGTCTCAACCAGCCGGGCCAGTGATGGAGTTGATCTTGTCCTGACACCTGCTGGGCATCCGACCAAGGCCTGCAGAGTGACAGCCTCGGACATCTGACTTGTCTTTGGAAAGTTTTTATCATGAGTTTGTCTATTAGGCCGTGGGGAAACCAATGACCCTTCTCGAAGCTCGGGTGCTTCATCTCTCCCTTTCTGGAGGAAAAAGTAGAGAGGTTTGTCTTGATGGTATGTTGGAAAGAGACAAGAGTTTGAAAGATGTGGGCTTCCTGGGACGCCTGGGTGGCTCAGTCGGTTAAGCCTCTGCCTTCAGCTCAGGTCATGATCTCAGGGTCCTGGGATCGAGCCCCTCAGCAGGGAGTCTGCTTCTCCCTCTCCCTCTGCCTCTTCCCCTGCTCATGCTCTCTCTCCTGCTCACTCTCTCTCTCAAATAAATAAATAAAATCTTACAAAAAAGAAAGAAAGATCTGCGCTTCCCTATCTTCCCTATTAATTAAATCCTTTTATTGCGAATTATCGTTCTTCATAAACATTTGAATGCCTGAGGCCACTGAGGTTTTGTACCACCTCGCACCCCACACTGAAGGGCTCTCACCACAGAAATCTACTTTCTCACAGTTCCGGAGGCGGAAAGTCCAAGATCGGGGAAACCTCCGAGTTGGTTCCCATTGGGAGCTCTTTCCCTGGCCTATAGGCAACCACCCTCCCGCTGGTTCTCCTTGTGGTAGAAAGAGAGAACTAGAGCCCTCCTCTTTCAAGGACACCCGTCCCATTGGATTAGACTGGATTAGGGCCCCGTGCTTATGACCTCATTATATCTTGATTACCTCTTAATAACCTTCATGACCAGGCCCCCTGGAGGTTGGGGCCTCGACAGAGGAATTTGGGAGGGACACAGTCCCATCCCTCACAGCCTGGGATGCAGAATGCAGCCCAGGTGCCGAGCATCATGTTATCACTCCCCACAGCAGGGTCAAATCCGAAGCGTGACCCCAAGCCTGGTCCCTGACTCCCGCGGCTTCAGGCTTACCCCACTGTAGACACACTGTTCTCTCTCAGATTCACCCCAACCTGTACACTTCAGCCCCCTCCCCCCCGCCATGTGTCGAGCTCTCACCGGGTGAGCAAATCATGCAGAAATAGACTGTGCTTTGGAGCAAGCTGGGGCCAGGAGCAAGGAGGAGCAGCAAGGCAGGACCACGAAGGCTTCCTGGAGGAGGTGAAAAGGACATTCGGCCCTGAGGCATGAGTAGAAGCTGGCTAAGTGGGAAATGCTCACGGTCATTCTAGGCAGGAGAACAGTGTGCCCCGGGCTAGGGTCTGTGGGCTCAGCCTGCTCTGCTTCGTAATCTGATCGTGGGTGCCCAGAAAGGAGAGTCCGAGAACCTGAGGACCTGAATAGCCAGAGAGACATGATTGGAGCTGAGGCCTTGGGGGGGGGGGAGCGCTGGCTTCCCCCCAACTCATGCCCACCCTCTCCAGGCCTGGGAGGGAGAGAGGAGCCCAGGGGGAAGCTGAAGGATCACCCCCCATCTGGCTGGAGCCACACAGACCCAGCGCCCAGGTGGGGGCTGGAGAAGGCAAGACTGGGTCAGTCCTTCACTGACACAGTCAACCACCCTTTTGTCCTCTGGGGCTTACCTGCTACAGCAGAGCGACAGACGACAAACAAAAAGGGAAGCTTCTGGGTATATCAGATGCTGCTGGTGCTGAGGGAAAAGACAAGGCAGGAAGGGGCAAGGCCGTGGCATGGGGCAAGGGGGGGAGGGGGGCGAGGGGGTGTGGTGGCACTGCCCTCAGGGAAGGGCTCCTAGGCACCCCCTTTGCTGCTGCCAAACCCACTGTGACTTTAATAAAGGGAGAAAGGAAGCCGGTCACCAGTCACAGCGCCTCCATCATCAATGGGTTACCCGCCCGGCTGGGCCTCTGTCTCCCGCTGGCCTAGAGGGTAGGGGGCTTCCTCCCTCCCCCTCAGCCACGTCTTTCAGTCAGGCTTCCCCCCACCCAGCTGCCTGTCCCCCTCCGTGGTTTCTCTGCTCCCGACCCATCGTCCGATTTCACCCTGGGGAAAAAAAAAAAAATCCAAGCATGGAAATCTCTTAATACAAACCAGATGAGGGGGCTGGTGAAAATGTTTTTCTCCGCATCAATCACCGGGTCCTCGCTGTGCTGAGAATTTGGTAAGCCCTCATCAGTGCTCCTACCAGGAATCCCTTCCAGACTTGGCCCCGCTGAGGCGCAGGCAAACAATGCCGCCTTCTGTGTGTTTAGCGAAGCACCTTTTCACACGTGCTTGCCCCCCACTCTCGCACCGGGTTCGGGTAGGCTTTGGGGGTCAGCCCGTCCTGCTGGTGCTGGCCGCCTGCGGTGGGGAGAGCTGCCACCCTCAGCGGGGCCTCTTTCCTTCCCCCCCCCCGAGTGAGCAGGTCCCCCCACGGTCCCCCTGGGCTCCGCGCACCGTGTGGCGGGGGCTCTCAGGTGGGAAATGCTGGATTGGGAGCAGGTGGCCAGCAGGACCCGGGACGTCCTGGGAGAGCCCTCCCTAACTCAGGCTTAGGGAGGCAGGAGCCGTCAGGCACCCATGGGGCGGCTGGTCTTGAGAGGGGGCCTTGCGGACCTTCCCTCCTTCCCCTCCCAAGGCGGACGGGCTGTGCCCAGGCGGAGAGCTCAGCCCAGAAGCCCGGGAGTGAATGGGCCTGAAGACACGTCGGGGACAGCTAACCAGGCGTGACAGTGTCATCGTAGCTGTCCACCGTCTGCACGGCAGATCTGTGCCCGTGGCCCCGCCCCCGTCAGCCCTGTGCTCAGCGCCAAGGCCACACCTCCGGCCGGCGGGGGTCAGCAGAGGCCGCGGCCCAGCGAGGGGGCCGTTGGGGCTGGTGGCTTCCTGCCTTAGATGCCCCCTTCTCTGAAAGCCCAAAGGGAAATAGCCCTGCCAGGTGTGTTTTGAGCAAAATAATAGGAAGAGTGTGGCAAGTAAAGGTACCTGAGGGTCACTATACCAAGTGCGGAGGGAGCACGGACGAGATGTCCCTGCAGGAGACCTTGGAGGAGGGAGGACGCAAAGCTGGTGGGAGGAGCCTGCCCCCCGGGCCAGGGGCAGCAGGTGAGGAGCCCAGGGACACCATGGATCGTGGGGGGGGGGTCAGAGAAGCTGCAGCTGGGGCAGGAACAAGGGGGCGTGGAGGCACTGGGGCCGGGGGGGCGGGGCGGGGATGAGGAGTCCATGGAAGTGGCGGGGAAGACTCCCAAGCAGCCCCACCAGGCATGAATTTGGGGTGAGAGGGGATGATCAAAGGCCTGGACGCCTCCGCGAAAGCTTACAGACCTGTGCTGTCCAATGTAATAGCTACTAGCCTATGTGGCTATTTAAAAATTTATTTGTAGTTTTTAAAAATTGAGATATAAATTCACACAACCTAAAATGCACCCTTCTAGGCACCTGGGCGGCTCAGTCGGTTAAGCATCTGCCTTCGGCTCAGGTCATGATCCCGGGGTCCTGGGATGGAGCCCCACATCGGGCTCCCTGCTCAGCAGAGAGTCTGCGTCTCCCTCTCCCTCTGCCCCTCCCCCCTGCTCGTGTGCCCTCTCTCTCTCAAATAAATAAATAAATCTTTAAAAAAAATAAAATGAACCCTTTTGAGGTATGCACTTCAGTCGTTTTTAGGATAATCACCATGCCATGCCATCATCTTCTCACTACCTGAGTCCAGAACATTCCTTCCCTAGCAGCCATTTCTAACTCCCACTTCCTCCCACTCCCCGGCAACCATTGATCCACTTTCTGTCTCCATGGATTTGCCTGCCGTGGACATTTCCTATGAAATGGTATCCGACAATGTGTGGCCTTCCGTGCCTGGCTCCTTTCACTTAGCATCATGTTTTTAAGGTCCATCCATGGCTGTTTAAATTTAAATTAATTAAAGATCAATGAAATGAAAAATTCAGTTCTTCGGCCACACTGGGCACGTTCCAGATGCTCAGGAGCCACAGGTGGATTTTAGCTTCCACATGGGACAGCGCAGCAAATATTGAAAATTCTCAGGGGCGGTGTCCCTCCAGAATGCCCTCAGTGGATGGAAGGGGGGGGGGATGGGAGCAGAACCCCACCCCTGCCCGCCTGGTGGGTGTGGACACATGGTCCTCTTCTTGGGTCCCGGGCGGGTGGTCCTAATGGGCTCCACCAATGATGTTTGCTGTTTCCAAAACTGATGAAAATCAGGCTTGCCAAGGGATCCCCCTGCCAGGCTGACCCAGCGCTTGGGTTTCTTTCCTTTCGGCTAGGAATGCCCCCTATCGGCAGCCATCACAGGCTCCCACTGGCCATGGCCTAGGACTCTGATTAATAAAGATGAGAAGGCAGCTGAGCTGTTGACTTTGCACATGCAGCTCAGGACACATGATCTTTTCGGAGGGAAAGGAAAAGCATAAAAAGGAGCCTTGTGTGAGTTCAGCATCCAGAGGCAACCGTTATTAGCAATCTTGTTGATGGCCTCAAGATTAAGATTTCGGGGAGCATTGTGAGGGTACACACGTAGAAATAGGCCTATACGTATGATATTTGAGTCTCTGTACGTATTTGTGTTTAATTTTAAAAGGTTGATTCAAACACACAATTCTTTTTTCATCCCTGACAATTTACAGTGATCTTTCTCAAGAGAAGTGTGGGGCATTTCCAGAGGTATTGGGCATGCTTGTATCTCTACGCAATAAAACCTGTTCCTATAAGCTCATTTCTATTTAGCCATTTTTGAAAGTTCAAGTGATGGGTACAGTGTAAAAATTAGCAATTCACAGCTGTCTTGGACTTTTGGAGAAGAGAGAAATCTTAGTGAAAAACATATTCTTTGAGGGGAGCCTGGGTGGCGCAGTGCATTATGTGTCTGACTCTTGGTTTCAGCTCAAGTCATGATCTCAGGGTCATGAGATCGAGCCCTGCATCGGGCCCCACATCGGGCTCCACGCTCTGCACAGTCTGCTTGGGACTTTCTCCCCCTCTCCCTCTGCTCCTTCCCCGTCCCCGTTCCCCCCCCCACTTGCTCGCTCTCCGTCTCTCTAAAATGAATAAATAGGGGGCGCCTGGGTGGCTCAGTTGTTAAGCGTCTGCCTTCGGCTCAGGTCATGATCCTGGGGTCTTGGGATCGAGGCCCACGTCCGGCTTCCTGCTCAGCGGAGAGCCTGCTTCTCCCTCTCCCTCTGCCTGCCACTCTGCCTACTTGTGTTCTCTATCTCTGTGTCAAATAAATAAATAAATAATCTTAAAAAAAAAAAACTCTTTTAAAAGATATTTTATAAAGAAAAAAAATGCAGACATTTGCACAAGTAGGCAGAGTAGCGTAATGAACTCCCATGGACCTACATCCGGCTTCAACAAATTTCAGATACACCCCCTCCTCCCCTTCATTACTTTGATTTATGGCTCAGTTGTCTTTCTTGTAAAAAGCTTACAGCTGGATTTTGAGTTTTATCCAACGAACAGTCTCTGTCTTTTTATTGAGAAGTTTATGGTTTCAGCGTGTCTCCTGCTTTTTGCTGTGTTTCTCTGTGAATGCTTTCTTTTTTACAAAGAAAATTGTGATCCATATGTCTCTCTGTCAAGACACGACCTTTACTGTGACCTCATGTCCCGGATGTGTCACCCCCCCCACTGCCTGCATACTCTCCATCGTGTCATTAGGGGCATGCCTCCCCTGTCTCCTTTCTTGGTCTTAACTGATTTGGGGGTGGAGGCAACAGTCTTCACTTGGGAATTTGACCACCCCTTGATCGTGTGAGTCTTGGGGCCTCTCCGGGGCTGCTCTGAGTCCTTCCTCCGAGACTGCTGCCCGTAGGTGGGTCTTCGTGTGGCCTCGTGTGTGAGAATGTCCCGGTCACCCCCTCATACTCGGTTGCCAGCTGGCCACAATGTAAAGCTCCAGGTTCCAGGCGCAGTTGTGAAAACTTCAAAACTCATGTCAGTTCTCAACGTGCTCGGTCCCTTGGAAAACGTGGTGTCGATCTGAGTCTGGCCCCTCGTCATGGGGTCAGCTCTCTCTCTCCCTTAGACCTTGCTGTCTCTGACACTCTTGAACTTCACTATAACGCATTGAGGTATGGGTTCTTCTTTTTTTTTTTAATTTTAATATGTTTTATTAAGGGCTATAAAAATATCCAGAAAGATAAATAAATGTGATGCAATGATATATGTCCTAATATGAAGAACTTTCTTTCAGTACGTTGTTGTTCTTCACAATGGCCTTCAAATCACAGGAGGCAGTGATTCCGTGCCATTTCCTCTTCTTTTATTACATGCTGCAGAATTTCTGAATCAGTATCCCACCCTCAGTATTTTCATTTATCCATCAAATTCGTTTTCAATCCGTTGTTTAGAAGGAACGTATTTTCTTCTGTTCCACATTTTCTTTTGTTTTCACAAGTGGATCGTAATGCAAGAGAGTCAGTTTCTCCCATAGTCGGCTTCTCTGAGTGTTGAAGGAGTAACCTGTCCCAGCTTGGCTCAGCATTTTCACCAGAATGGTTTTTGACTTGCTCTTGGCAAAGGTGACCGCAGACAGGAACATGGTGACAACCTGAGGTATGGGTTCTTTCCAAACTCTGATGTGCTGCGGGCCTTGGCCATCTGAGAGTTTCCATCTTTCTTTAAATCTAGAGAGCTATCTATTTCTACTATTTCTGTATTGTTTAATCATTTCCTTCTCCAGGTACTCTTGGCAGTTTCTGTATGAAATATTAATAAAGCCTGATTTCTGACCTAATAAGAATGCATATCAATAGAAAAGGGGGAGCTTTTGAAACGGAAGGGTTGAGAATTATTGTCACGTCACAACCATCTTCGTTCTTTAAATAAGTGTTCCCAACAGCCTTCTCTGTCCTCCCCCTGTGCTGGCTCCACGGGTGGGGTTCTTGCTCGTGTCAGCCCCTCCCAGTAGGTCCTGCTTTGCAGAAGAGGAGTCCGTGGCATCGGGAAGTGAAGAGCCCGTCCAGGGTCACCCAGCTGGACATGGGCAGCAATGGGGCTGCTCCTCTGTCCTCCTGCTCTGTTGGCAGAACTCTTTGATTGGCAAGTGAGGTAGAGTGTTTCAGGCAGCAGGAACAGCCCGTGCAAAGGTCCTGAGGTGAGAGGCATGCAGGTATTGCAGGAGTAGCACAGAGACGAATTTGGCTAGAGCTGGGGTGAGGGAGACAGAGGGAGAGGGGTGGCCGATGGGCTCAGGGGATAACAGAGGCCCAGATCATGCAGGGGCTCAGAGGGACGGAGAGGAGCCAGCCTGTGGTCATGCAGGCGGGCCACACCTGGGACCCAGCATCCACTCTCCTGACCCTCCCCTGGCCTCCCCAGCCCAGGGCCCAGAGCAAAGCCCAAGGCACAGCCTTACATGGAAGCACATCACCTCCCTGTCCTTGTCAGCTGTCCCTGTTGACTTGGAGATTTTGGAGACAAAATAGGGACCCTGTCACTCAGAGCGGAGGAGGCTTATATGAGCTTTTCTGTGCCCCATTCTAGCAGGAGCCTGCGAGAGGGGGCTACTCGTCCTGGGGGCAAGCTACAGTGCCCCCCGCCCTCAAGGGTCTCAGCTCAGGGCATTTGGGGGCTGTTTGGGGGAGGAAGCAGGAACTGCCTTCCGTTCCCCAGACAAGGTCCTCATTCTCTCTGTGAAGACGCAGCAGGGAGGGCCCTGTCCCGCTCACCATCACTGTGGCCACGAGGGAGGTCAGCCCGAGTGTCTCAGCATGAGGGACTCCGTTTGCTCACCGTCAGAATGCAGGGGCAGAGCTAGTTGGCTGGTTGGTGGGAGGTCCCTGTCTCGTGCGACGGCCACTGCCGCAGGCGCTCTGATGCGACCCCACCTGCCTCTCGGCTCCTCAGCCAGCACACATCAGCCACGGGGCTCTGTCTCACGGTCCTTGTCCACAAAAGGAACCATGCGGCTTTTTGGAGGGGTGGTGGTAATGTCATGTAAGAAAAGCTGGGCCCTGCCCCTATCCACCTCTATTCCGGTGACCAGCCTCGCTCGTTTCTCCTGGACCTCGGGCAATGGCAGCCCCACCCTCCTGAGCCTTGGTAGACGGTCCACGCGTGCATCGGCAGCTCTGGGAGGTTTGGGGAGCCCAGGCCTGGAGGATGGGGAGGGTGGGGCAGGGCGGCCCCGACTGTGGCCTTTGGGGCCGGTTTCATAGCTGGAGCAGCGGGACTGAGGGGGGACTCTTTCTGCCCTGGAGGCAAAGGCAGGAGGGAAAGTTAGCTGCCAAGACCACCAGCTTTCTTTGCCCTTTGTTCCGCTCCCGCTCGGGAGCACCCATAAAGCTGTTCTGACACAGGTCCTTTGGGAAGCTGTCTATTAACTCTTACGTGAGCGCATTTTGGGGAATGCTGGTCGGAGAGGTGGCCTGGTTCTCGGCCAGGCCCATCCTTGCGTCAGACTCCATGCTTTCGTGGATTCATTCCTCACAAGAACATGGCAAGGAGGGAATATCATCCCCAAAGTCAAAGGTGTGATATGCGCAAGGTCAAAGGGTTAGTGATAGGCAACACCAGAATCCCATCATCCCTCCACCCAGCCATCCACCCCCCACCTACCCAACCCCTTTGTCCATCCATTACCCCCATGGGGCCATATCCACTCACTCACCCCCCCAACCATTCACTCATCACTCATCCATGTGCCCATCTACTCCCCTACCCAACCATCCCCTACCCTTCTACCACCTACCCATCCACCCCCCCACCTATCCACTCCCCTACCCATCCACCCCCTACCCCTCTCCCCACCCCCCACCCATCCACTCCCCCGTCTCTCCCTCTGCTGTCCATCCGCCTGCCACCTGTGTACCCACTCATTGCTCTATCCCCCCATCTGGCCACTCTCCACCCATTCATCACTCATTCACACGCCCATCCTTCCACCCCTTCTGTGATGTCCCAATGACTAGTCTGTGCCCTGAGGAGACACAGGTAACTGAAATACATGACCCTTGTCTTCCCAGAGCTGGAGGGTTAGTGCAAAATCAGTCATTGTTGGAAAGTCACATTTAGGTGGGATTTTTATTCTAAAGTGATTACATAAGGCAAAAATCTTGCATGACCCATTCCTCCTGAAAAATCTCCCCGATTGCCCCTAAAATGCAGGAATGTACCATCTCTCTGAAACCCCACAGGGCCAGTCTTTGCTCCAGTGCTGGGGCGGGGGGATCAGGCGCAAATAGCTTGGGCTGGTATTCAGGAGCCCTTAAGGACCAGAAAGGTTTTCGCCACCAAACTCCAGAAGTCCAGCTGGAGACTCTCCCTCACACAAGGCCTGTGGGAACCGAGCCATACTTAGGGGCTGGTAGACTCATGTCCCCGTCTTAAATTTACTCCAGTGCATAAGGGAATATAGCCTCGGTATTTAAATCGTTTCTCTCATGTTTTCCCTAAACACGTATAGTTGGTGGTGAGCCAGTGAGAATGTATCTCCATTGCACAGCCAAGGGACAGCTAGGGACTCACTCCCCTACCCATCCAGCACCTTCACGCTCATCCCACAGCAGACCAGCCAGACAGAAACAGATCAGACCTCTACCTGTGCACCCTCTACACATGAATGAGTCGAGGCCCAGAGAGGGGCAGCAGAAAGCCTTGAGTGAGATACCCATCGTGGCTTCCTGGGCCTGCATGCCAGTGCAGGATCATCAACAGGAGCACAACATCTTCAACAAAGGAGGTGAGAATCCCATTTTGCCCGGAGGGCTCAGTTCTGGGAACCATGGCAGAGAGGGAAGGAACGTATTGGATGGGGCAAGGCTAGAAGAGGCTTCCAGGATGGCAGAGGGCTGTGGAATGCACAATGCTTCTGGGCCCGGGACTGTGCCTGTCCATCTCTTAGGGGCCTTTGGGAGGAATGGTTGGGTTTGTTCTGCATGGTCCCCAGGGAGCATTTAGGCTTTAAGTACATGGTTTCCACCAGACAGAAGCGACTGCTTTATCTGGTGTTAGCACGGAACCAGGAGCGGCCAGCTCTGGGAGGAACAGACTGCTGCCCCAGCCTCCTTAAGAGACTGGATGTTGCTTCTGGCTTGACGCTTTCCTTGGAATCTTCCAGGATGGTTTCAGGCATGCACGGATTTGCCCAAAAAGCTGCCTTTGGACCATAAGCTGCTTCTCCACCATGTTTGGGAAAGCCTGTCCTTGGTGTAAGTAGGACAGTCTT